TTCTTTCTTTCTTTCTTTCTTTCTTTCTTTCTTTCTTTCTTTCTTTCTTTCTTTCTTTCTTTTTGAGACAGTCACTATGTAACCCTGGCTGACCTTTAACTTACGGCATTACTTCCCAAGTGCTAGTCAAGAGCTACTACCTCCGGAATACTAAAGTTTAAGCTTAAAAAAAAAAAGAAAGAAAGAAAAAGAAAAGAAAGGCTATGCTCCACCGTGGGCTTTCTCATGTCCAGTCTGTCTAGACTGGATCCAAGGACAGCGCTGTCCCTGCAAAGCGTGAGACACTGGGAAGTTCAGGGAGCAGGGACGGGCAGTCCAGGAAGGTCCCCTCGAGCAGCGTGGCCAGGCTCACTGTTTGCCTGCTCAGGTGGTTCTGCAGGTAGAAGGCCTTTTATAAGGGGGTGACCCTGTGATTTGTTGACCAAATTGCATCACTTCTGAAAGTGAAAGGGGACACAGCATTAATTACGCAACTAGCAGGGACAGGCCTGGGCAAAGGAGGGCCGCAGGTTCCAGCCCCGCTGCAGGCTGCTCGGTCCTGCCGTGTCTAGGGAAGCTTCTGGAGACACAGCCACCCGGATCTGCCTGGCGGAGGCTGCCAGGAAGAGCTCAGGTCTGGGGACCGCAAGTAGCTGGTCGAGGAGCGTGAAGGGCTCAGGGCTCCGGAAAGGAAGTGGCGGAGCGCTGGCTTGTTGCACAGCGACTTCCTCCTCCGCCAGCCCGCAACCTCAAGTCCGCTCCACGGCCTGGTGCCTGTGGTCCCTCCCTGGGGGTCCGGCAGGCGGGAAGGCTGGTGCTGGGTGTGCCTGTGGGTGGGTGGAAAGTTTAGCCCCTAAATTCCCCTGCTGGGCGGGGTGGCTGGGCCACCGGAGGGCAGCCGAGGGTGAAGATGGAAGGGCCGGGAATGCTCCCAGGTCCTCCTCAGGTGATCCTTCCGACCACAGGACAGCTGTGGTCCCTATTCCATCCCCAGCCCGTACGCTGCCCTGTGCCTGACTTTACCCCAAGCCTCAGCCTGACCCCCAGCTGTATGTATCTATAATCATGGCCACAGAAGAACAACCAGGGGTCAGGTGGACCCTGACCCCAGTGTTCACCCCATTATGGCAAGGCTGATGAGTTCTGGCCCTGCTGAGTTCCCCCTGTACTGCTGGAGCGGAGCAGGGTTGGGGGCCCAGTCTGTGGGGCTCAGAAAGCTGCTCTGAGACAGAAAGAGGCTTGGGAGAGGGCGCTCGGGGGCCTTGGACCCTCTGGATTGCAGCTGTTTTATTAGTGACAGTGAAGACGGTTGCTTCCAGGAGGGATCTGGGGATGAATGAAAGATTAAGTCAAGAAAGGGAGGAAGCCCCCTGTCCTGCCAGCTCCCCCGGCTGTACTCCGGCAGCTGCTCTAAAGATGTAAACCTAGTGGGCTGAGGTGCCAAGAGAGCAAGCATTTGAATTGCTGCTCTGCCAATGCGGCTCCACAGCCTCCCTCAGCTGCTCCGCAGCTTCAGCCAGCGCCTAAGCACTGGGATCCTCCTCTCCCCCTCCTCCCCCCCCCCCCCCCGGGCAGGAGTGGTTCTGTGAACATCTGGGCCTCTTCCTCCTTCTTTCTCACTTTATTCATCCCACTTTCTTGAGGTCTGGGAGGTGTGAGGCTCAGTAGCCTGGACTCTGGGCTTGTGGAGGCTGGTGCTCCTATCATAGCTTCAGGACGTGGCCGATGACTTGACCTCCGAGCACCTATTCTCTTACCTGTGAGATGGGCTGACATAGGGACATTGTGAAGACTAATGGAGTCCTTGGCCCCGCGCCTGGCCCGTGCTCAGCATGTGCTGCTGCTCCCATGACCTGTTCTTCCTCAAGTCATGATGGTGAAAAACCTCAGGTGTGGCCAGGAAGTGAGGAAGCGGGGGCTGGGGGTTGTTTAGATGCACTCGTGCGGCTCCAGGTCGTGCTGTCAAGTTGAGATTTCTTCACCCCCCGCCCCCCACCCCACTGAATTGGCGGTGTTTTCAGTGAGTCATTCTGGTGCTCAGTGTCTTCACCCAGCTGTGTGTGAGGAGAGAGACAGCAGAGAAAGGGCATGTCCAGCAGGACTGTGCGGTGCCAGGAGGGGCCAGAGTGCCTGACTCTGTCCAGGGTCTCAGAGGTCTTTGTGAGGTCTTGGAGGACTGTATCAGCTTGCTCCAGGGCCCCGGTGTCAGCTTGGAGAGAGGCTGACACACTGAGCTAAGGACTTCTCCCTTCCATTTCTTATAGCTCCATTTTTTTTTTTTTCTCACTCCAAGGAGAGTGCCAGGCACTGGGCTGTGGAAACTAGGGTGGCTCCTGACATGGGAGCCAGCGGGGGGAGCCAGGGGCCTGGGGAACTGGATGTGACAGGTGAGATCTCCCAGGCAGGGTGTGAAGGGGCCAACCTGTATCTGTCACCTGAGATCCCACAGGGAAGGAGGATGGGGAAGCAGCCGAGCTCTCTGCGGTGACACCCCACGACCGCATGGTCCAGAGTTCCCTCTGGCTCCCACTGCCGACTGGGTAGCACAGTCCTGTCCTCCAGGAACCCCCAGTCTGACACAGCCCTGCCCTCAGGTTGCTTTCAGTCTGAAAACCGAGGCTTCCTGGGACTAGCCCCCAGTTTGGCGTGTGACCTACCTGGACTGCCCAGCCTGATAGAAAGATGTCATTTCTTCCCAGACTCACAAGGTGAAGGTGGGGGAGCAGAGGATGCATTTCGAAAACATGGGGCATGAGATATGGCAGGATGGTGGCCGTGGAGCCTGAGTCGGGGTTCCCTGGATGTCTCCTCTGTCGGAAGATGGGTGGTGAGGCCTGGTTTTTCCCCAAGTAGCAGGCTTAGCCCCCAGACTCCTTATTGTAACTGCAGCAAAAGCCATTTTACACCTGTCCCCGGATTAGCCGGAGTGGGGAGCACGGCCATTACCTGTTCTCTGACGCCTCGTCTCTCCTGGTAGGCGCACACTTTACCTCACGCTCCCCACACTTGCCTCCCGTATCCCAGCCACTGCCCTTACTGCTCCATCTGGGAGCGTCCTCTCTCGGGGGCTCCCAGCCTGGGAGAAGATTCACCAGAACAGCACCCCGTTCTCCCCTACAGCCCCAGCTTCTGAAGTTCCAGGGTCCCTTCTGGAGTTGCACAGATGGGAGGGATAAGGAAACCCAAACCTCTGCCTTCAGCTCTCAGCCCCATCCAAGCCCAGAACTCGGAGGCAAGCAAGTCCGAAGGCCATGGCAGAGAGAGAGAGAGGTGGTGCTGGAGGGATACATTTCACAGTGATGTGCTTGGGGTGGCCCAGAGGAAGAAAGCGGTTCTTTGCTAAAGAGTCTGTCCCAGCGCTGTGGGAGTGGGTGCTGAAGATGTCTACTGTGCAGGCAGTGAGCAGAAGAAAAAAAGAACTGGATGGAAGCAGTTTCTGAACCTGTACTGAGTTCGAGGTGTGCAGGGCCCGGCAGCCACTCTAAGGACCTGAAGGGGAAAGGGCCGAACAGATAGGCACACAGCAGGGTTCTGAGAGGACCAGGGCTGGAAGGAGCCCAAAGGCAGCTTTTCCACAGAGACGAGCAGTGGGACCGGGATGGGGACAGTTTGGGGAGGAGGTAATCGCCGGTGCTAGCCAGGAAGGGCGTTTCCCAAGGGGTGGCTTCATCACGGACGTGGTCCCTAGTGTCTTCCAGGCCGAGGATGTTTTTCATGCATCTCCTCCCCCGGCACACAGATCGTTCATCGATGGTACTGAGTGTTGGGTATTAAAGTTCTGGGACTGTGGCCAGTATTTAGCCCATGCTTGCTGGGCAAGTGTTCCACCATAGGGATACGTTTCGCTTTTTATTTTGAGACTGGGTCTCACCTGCTCTATATCCCAGGCAGTCAGCCCTTCAGCTCCTGTCAGCCTCCTGAACAGCAGGGAGCCTGTGCTAGTATTCCTATGCGACCCGAGAAAACTTGCGGTGTAAAATTCAGTGTGGTTTTCATAGGAATCTGTTTTGTCATCGATTAGAAAAAACATTCACGCTTACCTGTATGAACGATGGTCAGCCTCCCCCCCACCCCCTGCATCTCTCTATTCCCTTACCCTAGACAGGGGAACCTGGACTCCAGTGCAGAGAACCCTCTGGAAACAGAGGCTCTCTAGAAGGTTGAGGTGAACCTTAACAGCAGAGAGGATTCCTGCAGCTGGGGTAGGTGTGAAGGATACAAAGCAGAGCGGGTTCTTCTCTACAGCAGAAGGACCACAGTCCTTTTCTTCCCCCAACCCTTGCCCTCTGACCTCAGGGTGAACTTGGCGCTGGCCTACACAGAACTGACTGAGGAGTTGGGGCGGCTTCGGGAGTTGAGTTCCCTGCAGGGGAGGATCTTGAGGACTTTGCTGCAGGAGCAGGCCCGGAATGCAGGTGAGAGTGCAGGAACCTGGTGTTGGGGGGTGGGGCCCCAGGAGCCGCCTCCCGCTCCCTGGGTGGGCTTGTTGCGGCGGGGTGGCGGGGGAGGGGGGGGGACACGGCTCACCCCTTCACCCTGCCCCTCCTGCCTTGTCTTTCCCAGGCCAAAGGCACTCACCGCTGTCGCAGCGCCACTCCCCGGCGCCCGCGTGCCCCTCGCCCTCCCCGCCTGCCCGACCGCCGCCCTGTGCCCCGTGCCAGTCCCCCGCCGCGCAGCGCCGCTCGCCCGTGCCCCCGTGCCCTTCGCCCCAGCAGCGCCGCTCGCCCGCCTCGCCCTCCTGCCCGTCGCCGGTCCCCCAGCGCCGCTCGCCCGTGCCGCCGCCGTGCCAGTCACCCAGCCCGCAGCGCCGCTCGCCCGTGCCCCCCAGCTGCCCGGCCCCGCAGCCCAGGCCGCCGCCGCCGCCGCCGCCCGGGGAGAGGGCGCTGGCCGAGCGCGCCTACGCCAAGCCGCCCAGCCACCACGCCAAGGCGGGCTTCCAGGGCCGCCGCAGCTACTCGGAGCTGGCCGAGGGGGCGGCCTACGCCGGCGCCTCCCCCGCCTGGCTGCAGGCCGAGGCCGCCACGCTCCCCAAGCCCCGCGCCTACGCTGGCGAGCTCTACGGCGCCGCCGCCAGGCCGCTCAGCCCGCGCCGCGCCTTCGAGGGCCTCCGCCTGCGCTTTGAGAAGCAGCCGTCGGAGGAGGAGGAGTGGGCCATGCCCGCCAGCCCGCCCAGCCCCGAGGCGGGCACCATCCGCTGCGCCTCGTTCTGTGCGGGCTTCCCCATCCCGGAGTCGCCCGCGGCCACCGCCTACGCCCACGCCGAGCACGCACAGTCCTGGCCGTCCATCAACGTGAGTGCTGCGCGGAGTCCCCGAGGTGCAGGGCAGAGAGGGCCTCCCCACCCCCCACCCTGGGTCTCACCGCCGGCCGGTAGGAATAAGCTATTAAAAGTATGGGCCGTCGGGGCGACCGTCCAGGCTTTGAGTCCCACTCCTCGGCCGGGTGTGTGAACTTGAACCGCCTTCCAAGTTCTATCGGTGTTCTCACCTGCGAACCGAGGGCGAGGGTGCTATGACCTGAGCGGGCCTTTAGAAGAAGGCAGTGCTCCTCAAGCACACGATTGTTAGTGACCACAGGATGGGGATAGAAGGGACAGAACACGGACCCACACAGGGACAAGCCTGCCTAGGCAGTTCCCCGCTCCAAGCCTCGGAGCCTGGGGCATGATAACCCGTTTCAGGACCCCATCTCTTCACTAAAATGATGAGTTTCCCGACTGTCACAGCCACCCCTTGCTGCCTGGGAGAACCAAAAGTTCTTCCAAAGCCAGATGAGATTGTTTTGGGGTTTAGGTTGTCTGCGGTTGTCAGGTGCTTTGGGTTAGCTGTGCCTTCCTCACTCAGAGGCACGTCAGGGTCTCAGTTCCCCTCATTCTGTGTGCCTCAGCTGACGGAGCAGTGACTCCCACACACACTTCCTGAGAGCCGAAGATGTGCTGGACAGGGCTTGAGAGGGGACGCCCAGACTTGTATGTGCTGTAGCCGGCCCTGAGGTGGGTCTTGGAGCTGAGCAGGCCCTGCTGTGAGGTAGTCTCTAAGCGGTTTCCTTCTCTCCCCGCAGCTGCTGATGGAGACGGTGGGCTCCGACATCCGCAGCTGCCCCCTCTGCCAGCTGGGTTTCCCTGTTGGGTACCCGGATGATGCCCTCATCAAACACATCGACTCCCACCTGGAGAACAGCAAAATCTAGGGCGCCTCTCCCACAACTGGCTGTTTCTCTGCGCGCCCTCATCACCCCCCAACCCAACACTCACTTTGAATGCTGCATGAACCTCGTGGGGGGCCCCGCCCCTTGCGGTCCCCAGATACCTCCACTAGCTACTGAGTCAACGCGTGTGCCGTCTTCCCTGGTCCAGGCACCACTCCGCTCTGGCTCTGTCCTGGAGGTCTACCAAGGTTCTCTCCGCCTTCCTGGTTTCCACTGGGGAGTGGGAATCTGTCTGGTCTGGCATGAGGAGGACGCACCTCCACTTCTCTAGGCCTTCCTGTTTTTCACCAGGGTTGGATCCAAGAAGAAGTCTAGCGCTTGGGGGAGGGAGAGGAGGAGGCAGTGTCAAGAGATCCGGGAGCCCCCTCCCAAATGTCCATCTTTACCGGGCTGTGTTCTTCCAGGGAGACCTCTCCGAGAGGGTCTCAGAGCCTGCCCTGCCCACCCACACCAGCCCTTCTGTGCCGTGACCGAGCGGCTTGGGGCTCATGGCACTGGGGAAGGAGGCATCTCATTTCCTGTTCGTCTCTGCAGGCCAGCTCTGTTCTCCCCCTCTGCCCACCCTGGGGAAACGGGAAATGTGGCAGAGGGGTGGGAGGACCCTGTAGGCCTTGGATGATCCAGCCCAAACGGGCTGCCTTGAAGCTGGGACTCCTGGGCCATCACCCTCAGTCCAGGGAACTGTCCCCCAGCCTAGGCCCTTCTGGAGCCCCTGGCACTAAGGTGCAGATCACCAAGGCACATGCCTCCATGCTCCCCGACTGCAGCTCCTGACACCACAGGCGCCCCGAGCCCCAGGTGTGACTCAGCCTGTGTTCGCTGGGCAGGTGTCAGCCCCTCCCTCCCAGGCCAGAACCTGCAAATGGGCCCTGGGTGCTGTGGAGATCAACTTCAAAAGAGCTAATCCCCTTTCCCACACCTACCCACCCACCCCTATATTCCCTCTGTGAAATCTACCTCAGAGTCGTCCCCTCAGAAAGACAGGGGAGCGGGAGGCTGGGGCCCCAGGCTGAGGTGGGAGCCTCTTGAGGGAGCCTGCTGCCCACGATGAAACCACCCCTCCCTCTGAGCCTCCCTGGGGCCTTGGCGAGTCGGTGGCAGTGACAGCCGCTGTCCGTGGAATGCGCCATTCTGATCCAAATCTTCCAGGCCCCCTCCCCACACCCCTCCTTCCTCTGTGCAGGGGGTGAGGGGTATGTCAGCAGGGAAGGGGCCAAGGACTCCAGAGACATGTCATCATACCCCGAGTGTTCCCGGGGAGGGGACATGGGGAAGGGGGCCTGTAGACTGGAGAGAGGGCCTGCGCTCTCTGAACAAGTTGAAAGTCCAAATAAAACTTACGTGTTCCATCTGCGCTCAGCCTGTGCTTGCGTGGGCGGGGTGGGGCCCTGACCTCACTGGGAAGGTCTTGGAGACTGCCCCTGGGACCGCAGCCACTGGGGAGCCAGCACTGGCCGGTTCGGATGGCCCACGTTCCGTGGTTCTGATGATGATAGGTGGTCACACTTCAGTTAGAACAGGTTTGAAGCAGCCTGGAGCAGGTGTAGGGGCTCTTGGAGCTTCCTCATCAGAAATTCTAGAGCTCTGGGGGCATTTTCATTGATCAGTAGCCCTTGTTTTCCTCAGATAGATTCTGAACAGCAGGAGCCAGGCTGGGGCGTCACACTGGAAGAAATCTATGTTCCATGGCTTCATGAGTCTAAGATTAGAAAGGGGCCAGGCTTTAGGCTCAACTACTTCAAACACCCCAAACCTGGGAGGTCAGAGCTGAGTCATGAACCCATGACTTTTGCCCCAGCCTTGACTGTGCCCTCTGTCTGAAAAGTCTTAAGTTATTTATTCATTGACTCTGTCTTCCATGTGACTTCTTTTTTCCAAATGGTCACTTAATAAAAGATGGGGGGACCTGGGGAGGGCCGTGGGTATGGCTCAGTAATAGGCCCTTGCCCACTGTGCAGAAAGGCCCTGGGTTGAATCCCCAGTGCTGGAAAGAAAACAGATCCCGGAGCCCTTTGTTCATCAGTGGCTGGAGGTTCAGCACTGGAACGTGGCAGCTGTCCTACAGCGCAGTGAGAGCCAACCTCTCCAACTCCTGTGTTGAAATAAGCCCCTACTGTCTGTGGCCAAGACCTGCCTGAGTGCCAGGAAAGGTGGACCAGTTTGCAGATGTGGCTCACGGCCTTAAGAAAGGAGATTCTAGAACATGTGAGCGGTCCTCCCAGGCTCTGGAAGCACTGGCTGCGGCTGCGACAGACACTAAGGGATGATGGTCCAGGAACACAGAAGGCAGGGGAAACCCTAGACCTTGAGAAAAGGGGCAAATTGGGGGCGGGCTGGGAACGAGCCAGCACGCAGACGCAGGCAGACTGGGCAACCTGAAGGCCGTAGTCCCTGAGTGTGACTGAAGGTGGGTGGAAATGCAGGTGTCCTGCCCGGACATCCCCCTGTCATCAGGGTGAGGAGAGCATGGGGACAGAGGGTGCAGACTCTGGCAGCTTGTCTCCCTGATTTCTAGGAACTCAGGAAAAGCTCAGGTACAGGGCAGAATGTTGCTGGGGGGCTGGAAGAGAAGGCGGAGGAGGGAAAAGGCAGGGCGCCTCCACCTAGGTCCTCTCCACAGCCACAGACTTCCATCTGACACCCCTGAAAGGAAGGGGCTGGTTGGGGAGCCGGAGGACCTGCGACCCTCATCCCTCCCACTCCTCAAGCGGGATTCTGATCACACAGGACATTTGCTGTGGATTGATCTAAGGAGCCCAGAGGGCAACAGGAGGGGGCTGAGAATTGCAGGGTTCAGGGACCAAGGGGTTGACATTTCTAGGCTCCTGGAAACAAGGTGGAAGGTTGGAACAACTTTCACTTGAGTGAAGCAGAGGGGGGAAGGTAGAAGAGATTGCTGTGGACCCAAAGACCATGGTGTTGAGGGTGAGGACTTGGCAGAGGCCGAGTCATCCTCTCCGGTTCTGCCCCGGGCCCTGGGAGGTCCCAGGTCACGCAGACCCTTGCCTCTAGGTCCCTGTGTATACAAGCTGTGTCAGCTGATCTGCTGAGGAGGGTGACAGCTCTTCGTAGCCTCTGCTGCAAAGAAGCTGATTGATAATAAGGAGAGGGGTGTGTGGAGGAGGGAGGCATGTTAATGAGAAACACCTCACCCAGCTGATGAAGACAGGGGGTGGAGTTTTCACTCAGCATCTTTATAAGGGGGGGGGGCAGGCCATGTCTCCTTCAGTAAGAATAAAAAAATAAATAAAAGAATAAAAATTGAAAAAGAGCAACTTTGGCCATTACAGAGAGAACTGAGGTCATGGATGAGACATTAAGGGCAAAGGGTGTGTGTGTTGGGGGTGGGAGGTGGGGAGAGGGTTGTCCTCAACGGGAGAAGTGGGATGACTAACTAACCAGGGACAGAGTTAGGGAGGAGATGGGAAACGCCCTAGCATCCTTCTCTTCTTCCTGCCCTTCCTCTACTTCCACTCCTGTGACTTGAGAGAGTCTCAATGTTCCAAAGCTCCCCCCGCCCCCCGCCTCCCGGCCATCCAAGAGTTCCCATGAGATCCGGTTCCATCCGAGTGGGTTCTGAAGCTGCCGGGCCAACCTAGGGCAGCCTGGGAAAAGAAGCTCCGGTTTGAGGTCCTGGTCCGGGGCACTCACTAGAGTCTATGTCGTTGCCGGGACACAAACTCTCCCTGTTCAGGACCTGAGGCCTGGTGGGACTGAGGTCGAGAGGGGCAGGTGCAGTGATGTCCATGTCCACTCTGCCCCCAACTCCCTCCCCTCGTCCTCAAGGCAAACGCAGGTGTGTCTCCAGATGCAGCCTTGACCTGCAGCTTTGGCCACTCCCCCTGCCGCTCTGCTGAAGGGCAGAGCTGATGGGCACCTTTCATAGATGTTCCAGGCTGCTGTGGGAGTGTGGGCATGGGGGAAGGCAGGGAGGAGCCGGGGTACAGGATGGGTGTCGCCAGCACCTCCAGCACCTCCTCATTTGCATTGCCACTGACACCCTTCTTGACCAAGAAAATGGAGCCAGAAATAACAAGGGGGGGGAAGTGGTTCCCTTGAGGGGGGTGACCTTGAGGGGGGTCTTTCCCTGCCTCCAACTCTCCCACGGTGCTGGGGACAGGAGGTCAGCCTCACAGCTGGTCTGGGGGAGAGGAAGTACGCCCACTGTTGCTCATCCGCCCGCAGACTGAGCAAACACCCCCATCCCGGCCTCTCTATGCCCTCAGCCCCGCACACCCTAGCACTACCCCATTCCTGAGTCTACTCCACGTCCCTACCCCGTGAGCCCTCGTGTGTCTGAAATCCCTCTTGCGACTGTGAAAACCTCAGCCCTACCAGCTGGGAAGTGGAGCCTGTTGACCGTCCCCTGTCTGTGGTCCCTGCCTTCCCTAAGACTGAACCCTTCCTTTTCCAGGTCCTGAGCCCGAATCGCCCGCCCGTGTATCCCTGAACAACACGAGAGGCCATTCCGCACAGTTCGCAGCCAGTTTCAGCAGAGTCTACGGCAGGAAATGGATAAATCAGAGCCCGGTGTGACCCAGACTGTAGGACGGTGTAGTCCCAGCCCGGAGGAGCTTCCCGGGGGACCCCAGCTCCTATGGAGGCCATCTTTATTTAAACAAGGTCTCCATGAGCCTTGCCTTCATGAGGTCCTTCGAGGGAAGGATCAGGACCACTCCTGGTGGCCTTGCACGGATGGCAGGCAGGAAGAGCTCTACGCTGAGCTGCAGTCCCAGCCAGATATTTTCTTTCCTTGACTTTGACGCTGTGGCTTAAACCTTCACTGACACCTTGCATGCTCAAGTTGTGTACATTAAATTTACTTCTGCCCCCAGAGGGTAGCTACAGCAGAGGGTGGTGGTGCGGGCGACAGTGGGTAGGTAGGGTGGGCCAAGGTCACTCAGCTGTCTTCCCGGCAAGGGCTCCTGGGCGAAGAGGTCAGGGCACAGGCAAAGCAGAGGGGCCGGGCAGGAAAACCAGGTCGCGAGAGACAGCCGGGAGAACTGTGAACACACTATGGGAAGGAGTGAGCAATGAGCTGAGAACTCCCCTCACTCCCCCCGCCCCAGAGATGCTATTTTGGGGGGAGAGAGTGTATGCAGTGCAGGGGCAGTGGGGGAGGCTGCCAGCTTCCCCAGGGCTCAGTCAGCTGTGTGCAGCTCCTGCTTTCCCGATCATCTTTCTTAGCCTCAATACCTTCCGTTACATCTTTCTCCCTTGGAAAAAAAAATGTTTCTTTTTTGTTCCTGACCTGAGTCCGGGGAGGGATGAGCTTGGAGGTTTGGAGCTGGCCTTTAATCTCATTCCTTGAAGGTCCCTGTGGAGTGGAGACAGGGCATAGCTCATCAGGCTGAGCACTCTGGGTTCCCTAATGCCCTCCTTTGGCATTCTGGACCCCTCTTCTCCTCTTAGCCTCAAACATGGGCCTTGGGTGGGTGTTGAGGGAGGCCAGTGTCCAGAAAGCCACAACCCTCCCTGAGGAATCCGGTCTTGCTCCTTGGCCTCCAGGGGGCTAGATGGATGGTACTGTCTAGAAGCAGAGCCATTGCATGGCACAAAGGGGAAATTCTTGCACCCCAGCTCAGCTCTCAAGGGCCCTGACTCATTTCAGGATGAAGGCTCTAATGCCCTGTGGGTTTCTGTGGTGGCTTGGGGCAAAGGGAGGAAAAGGCAAGTAGATAGAGCGTGGCTGGAGATGAGTGGAGACTTTTGTTTTCATTTTTGGAGTTTGGTATGGATTCACCTGAAGAAGAAGAAGGCTGGCTGGGGTGGGAAGAGAGCCTGTCTCCTACTAGAAGGAACTTTAGGGTAGATTTCAGGAACAACAAGGGAGTGCAGCCAGCCAGCAGCTCTCACCCTGGATGGCTGCTTCCTCTCTTTGAGGTTGGGGAGTTTGTCCTGGCACCGGCATAGCCGGGGACAGAGGGAGCAGCGTAGTGAAGGCACAGGCTGTGGATTCTGAAGCCTCCAGACAGGAGGGATGATGGTGGCTTCAGTTATCAGCACAGGGATGTCCCCAATCCATACCACAAATAAGGAACATGAGTTAGAAGGCCATAGGGCCAGAAGACCTCCTGCTTTCTCAGGTCCTCCCTTGCTGGGTTCGTGTCTTCAGGCTTCTCCTCTTCGCAGGAGGCACAGAGCAGAAAGCAGCAACCCCCTGTGAAGGGGGCAGTGGCTCCTTGGAGGTCCTGGTCTGCAGAACTTCTTGGCAGCCAGATGGAGGCCCCTGGGAAGAAACTGATGACGGAGCCAGGCCCCCCAGGAGAGGGGCCAAGCCTCCTGCCCTAACCCACTGAGGGGTGTGCACTCTCCTCCCCCTTCCGAGCGGCCTTGACCTGTGGGTGTGACAG